TAAATGTTGAGTTGGGGGCATGAACAGCAGCAGCTTAATGGTATTTAAAGTGACAAAGGCCCTAAAACGGCTCATTCTGCAAGGAGCTCACAATACGCAGAACAAAAATCTCATCATGTAAGAATCATTTTGTGCAAAAAAAAAAAAAAATGAATAGACATGTTTCGTATTGCTACACCTCCAACGCAGGAGCTGCCTAAAGAAACCTCATATTAGCTTTTTAACCCTTTAATTTGATTGACAGCACTAGTTTTTTTTTTTTTTGTACCAGGATTTCATAGGCTGCCTTTTGAGACATTGTATCTACTTCATGTTCTCAGGTGATTTCATGATTTATCAGACCTGACAGTAAATGTGGCTCATGAAAGTTAAGTCATGATGTAACAAGGAAGCAATAATATTTTCACAAACGGTCAGGTTGATTGGATAGATTCGCCTTTTAATACATAAGTCATCATTTAGAAACTCCATTTTACATTTACTCCGGTTATTTTGCCTAAAATAATAAAAACAATCTGTAGGGGTATATCTGTTTTCAGGGCCAAGTATGTGACATTTCTTTACATAATTGTTTAAAAGAAGGTCACCACAGTCGAATGAATTTATGGCTGTTGCTTAGTAACCAGTGTTGGGATGGTTAGATACCACCCTCTGCTGTGATTTACTGACACAGTTTTACTTGTGACTTCTTCAGAAGCAGGGCTGACAGAAAGTAACATAATAAAACCACAGAGCAGCATGAAGAAAAAAGGTTTCTGCCGTCACTGAGCAGAGGAAGCAGGATAAGGAGAGCAAAGCTATTTCCCATAATGAGGGATATAATGATGGTTTTTCTAAAAAAAACAAAACCAAAAAGAATTTTAAAGTTTCTTACACCAATTTACAGCTGCAGCATAATCAGAGGCACTGCTGCATTTAAAGTGGATCTTCTGAACAAAAAGTCTAATTCAAAATCTGTTGCAAAACAACTCAAAGTGCATGTTTTCTTGCCTCGGCATGGACTGTTAAATATTGCCAACTCAGAATTTAGCTACCTCATGTGGCATTTTGGCATCATTCTCAGTGTGCGTATGTGCATGTTGAGTGATCGCCTTTCTAAATTATGGCCGTGTCACATAGGCAGGAATGTAAATCGCAGATGGAGTGTACAGTATGTGCATTGTGGTAAATAGGTCAGAAAACACTCAGGGCCTTTGCACACAAACACACAGAGGTGGCTTCAGGCGGGACCTACTCCTTTCACACAGCAGCGCTCTGCTTTCTATGGAATAAAAACACGCATTACGTGCATGTGTGATTACAAAACCTGCACCATGCACAGAGATGCTGCTTTTGTCTCCAAAAGAGCAGAAAGCTTTGACCACAGCTGAAACATCATCAGATTTCTGGGGTTTCTCAGGAATGATGCACAAACGCACACTTAACAACAGTTTGTGTGGTCTGGTCATGTGATATCTGTCCTGTCGTTTCATTGGCTGGGCACTCTGCTTGGCTGCACAGGCCACAATATAATAGGAAGTGTGCATCAATTTTTAATGTGACATTTAACACACATACAAAGCGATAAATAAGCTGCAACTAAAAGGTTCATGTCTGAGTTCACTATCAGTTTGGACATCAGTTCTCACCACTTTTTATTGGCTTTTACCCCAAAATGATGCTGAAACTCTTCCGTGATAATATCTCCACTTAAAAAAAGAGGACACCAATTTCAAAAATGCATTTATGTTCTTCATCTCTTCTCTGCTCACGTACTCTACCTTCTCCTGATTTGATTCCTGTTACGAATAAAATGATCTGGGCTTCAGGACATGTGATCAACTCAATGGTCTGAGATTTGCAGAAAACCAGGAATTGAATTAAAACAGGCGTAGAAAGAAGAAAAGATGTGAACAAAGACAGATGTGCTTTGTTGTAGTTATTGTTGTTGTTCTTATTTGAACCTTTAATTTTCTTTTATGGAAATCTGATATGTGATTTAAAAATATGCTACTGTACGACAAAACAGTTAATGATGACTTCAACAGTCAGACCTTTAAATGGTTCTGCTACAAACAGCAAAGTTATGTTTAATGTGTACAAGCTCTTCTGTGTCCAACTAGCAGTTATTAAATCTGAGCAGACTAAAAAACTTAGACAACGAACCACAACCGAGATGAATAACTTATGACATTTGGTTACATTGTTCATATGATTTACTGCAGGCAGGTTAAACTATTCTTTCTTATTTTAGTTTTAGTCCTTTCAAAGGATAAAATATCCCAACTACTACTCAGCATTGAGATTTTCTGCAAGACCAGAAGTGTTTTCATTTTTTTCTAGATTTCCTGATTCTTCCTCATTATTGGTGCCGATTCTCTTCAGCGAGCTCACAGTAACTTGATCATTTACATCAGCCCTGTTTAATCCGCTTCTATCAAACTGTAGATAGTTTGTCTAGAAAATCTGGTTTGTTTGACCACACAAGCAAATTCTGGTCTGCCTCAGAACCTCGGAGTGAAGTCTGATGCGATTTGAATGCATGTGAACGTCAAGCACACCAGAGACTGCTCCAAAAGCAGAAAAAGGACTAAAGCACAAGGCATTCTGGGTAATGCCTTGTGCTTTACCCAGAATGCACAAAATGCAATCATGACCTTTTACCAAAGACAAAAGAGATTTCATAGACCTCTAAAATCTGAAACCACTCTATTTTTGTTTACACTTCATGAACAAGAAAGTTGTGCTCAATCCTCTGACTTCCTCAGAGGTTTTAGTGCCGTTTTCTTCAGAGGCTGTTGATACAGCGCCACCACAGGTGAGGAGGGGTTCCAGCTTGCTCAAAGTTCTTACAGGAGAATAACCAATCAAAATCACTGTTTCAGAAGAAGGCAACCACAGGAAGTAAAACATCACCCAAAAAGCGCTCACAAGTAAAGAAGAAACTCGTATCAACAAACCTTAAACCAAACCTCAGTGAGTCTCTAACGTCTGATTTGTAGAACTCTACATGAACAGATTTAGAAACATGGACGTACTACTGCGCCGAGTCGTTGAGCTGGTACTCCCGGGCGCGGCTGAAGCACTCCTGGATGCCCGAGTCGGCCCACAGGCGCATCATGGCGCCCAGCAGCTCAGCAGAGTACGGCTCTGTGTCTTCCATACGACTGACGACGTCACACACCATCTTAGCGTCCGCCTGCAACACAAACACAAAAAAGAAAACAACCGGTTAGCATGCTGCTAGCTATTTCTGAGGGACTGATGAAAACACCTCAACACAGCAGGACATCTACTCGTTCACTTCGACAAATAATAACTGATGAAGTGTTAAATATAGCAGAGAACAAGGACAAAGTTCAAACAGGGAGAAGAAATGGCATAAGTCCTTAAAACAGTGGAACATGTGCTATTACTGAGCAAAACCACCCAACAGAGCTGCTCTTACAGAGGCGTCACTCCTCATCTATTTTCATCACTCTTCATTATGAGCAAACCTTAAAAAAAAAAAAAAATACTAATATAACAACACTGGACATTCAGACTGAAGTGGCTGTTTGAAAGCTGCACATACAGAAGATCCAGAGGGCTGGAAATAGACGGAGCGCTCTGGCATCTCGCTCAGCCTGGCGGAGGTTTGTTTTTAGGCTGTTGTCATGCAGCTGTGATCTGGCCGCGCTTCCCTTCAGGGCCAGAGGCTGCTGATCAGCTCCGGGCTCCTTCCACACAAAGACGCCCCAATGCAGCACTTCTCACAGAGTCACAGCATCATAAACCGCTCATATGATCGCAAACACCCGACAACAGAGTGTTAATCTGATACACTTAAAACATACAGATGTCTGTCTGCATATTCATGGTTTAGGTTAGAAGAAGCAAAACATCACAAAAAAAAGACAATATTGATAGATTTTCTTTTTAAAATCAGCATTTCTCAAACAATTTTGTTTTGTACTTGAAATGACTAGCCAAAAAACTTGATTAATAGATGCATTCAGTACTGGGTTAAAGGTTAAAACCACCCATAATTCATCCGTTTTCCTTCTAAGCATCATCTGAAGCGTTTTCCTTCGTTGAATCATCTGAAGCGGTCCTGATTAAAAACTTCTCCAGGTCTTCTGGACATTTTCAAAAACTTTTTATTCAAGTTTGGATACATTTTTATTCACTTTCTGTCCAGATTTCAAACTTAACCATGAAACAATTTGATGGTCCAGTTCCACTCATGCTTGAAGTGAGTTATTCAGTAGAAACATGTACTAAAACCATGTTTTGTATCGCCTGTGGAGGTTCTGTTCCAGGACTAATTATAAGTCACCATTAAATCACAGATTTTCTAAAAAATATTTGGAAAATCAATTTTGCGTTTACTTGTTATTTTGCCTAAAATAATTTAAAAATCTCTCACGGTAAACCTGTAATACTTTTTAGGGTACTGTACACAATGTTATTTTTTTAACATAATTGTTTAAAAGAAGTTCACCATAGCCAAATTAATTGTTTTAAATTAAAAAATTCTGCTAATTTGATTAAAAAACAAATCAGATTTTAAATGTAATGCATTTGCTAACAAGAGCTTAAACACTGGGATTTCTGTCAGCAGAATTTTTTTTAACTAAAAAAATAAGAAATTTTACATCGTTCCGTAATCGTCCAGTCCTCCCTCTGCTTCCTTGACAATAAAACATTCCTGGATTAATCCGTTTTCCCCACACAAATGTAAACGTCAGCAGTAAAGGCGATCAGATTTACACAGCTTCTGTTATCTGAGTCAGTGATGCTTTAGATTTACAGACCACAGTGAAAAACAAACAGAACGTACAGCAGGATTTACTGTGTTACTATAAATGTGAAATAGGAAACCCAGAGAGCTCAGCGGCAAAATAAAGACATAACACAGCGACAGGAGATAAATATCAATTAAGGAATGCATTAAAATCCACATTAGACCCAGTAACTGCTGTCACTAAAACAATACATCATTAAGCTTTACATCAGAGAACTCAGCATGAAGCCAGTGGAGCGGTATAGTGTGTCAGATCTGGAGCCGATTTTCATGGAAATGTAATTATAGCCAGACATTATAATTAGATTGTGCAGCACTCAGGCTGATATTACACCACCTGAAGTCAAGGTCTGTGTGAAGTCTGACATTCTACAAAATTTACCAGCAAAGTGAGTGAAGCTGAGCACAGACTGAGCACTGTGGTGATTTAAACACAGCCCTCTGATGAACTCATGGATTACACAGTTTAACCCCAAATCAGAGCCACAAGCTGTAAACGGCTTAATAAGCAGGTTTTCTTTGTTCTTTTGCACTTTTACCCTCTTCTGTTGCATCACTTTATTTGCTGCCTTTGGATCATTAACAAAGGTTTGTACCATCATTACACTCCAAGTGCTTCTTTACTGAAACTCTGCTCCCAATTCAACAAGTCAATTCAAGACTTTTTTGAACACTGCAAAAACATAAACAAGTATTTTTGTCTAGTTTCTAATGTAAATATGTTAGTACACTGAAAATAAAATAAAACTAACTTATGAGTTTCATTTTATTGTTTATTTCATTCAGTCAGCAATAACTATAGATGTAACAACTAAAAGACGAATGAAAGCAGAAATAAGTATAAACATATAATATCTGCCTCCTATTCACATAAAACAAAATTAAGTATTCAACTCAAAAGACTATTGCAAACATATTTCAAATATACACAAAAGATAAACAAAAAAACTGTCAAGATTATTCCATAACTGATAGCTTTTATTGAAAAGCATCTTTCTATCGTCATTAAGTCACTTTTTCTCAAGATATACAGTATTAGCTTGTTTTAAATAAATAATTCCTTAAAATTGATTAAATAGTTTTAGCTCCACTGGCAAAGTATTTCACTATTAACATAACATTTTTCTCTTGATATAAGTAGAATTAGAATTTTTTTAATCAATATTAAGGAATTATTTACTTATAATAAGATCTTACATCTTGGTGAAACATTACCTGCAAGTTAGATTTGCCTTATTTCAGATGTACTAAGATATTTGCACTAGAAACTAAACCAAAAATATTTAAGATGTTGTGTTTTTGCAGTGAAGCTGCTGCAGAGAAAGTTTTCTGAAGTTTATTTATATTGCATATTTCAGCGAGAAGACGGTTTCATGCCACTGAATCTGTAAGTGTGTTGTTTAACAGATGATAAAACTCTACATGAAGGTTGCACACATGAACATGGAGCTGATCCACCTTCAGCTTCGATTACAACACATGTGCATGACTGTGATGAGTCTGCAGTATGCAGCGCTGCATCATTCATCTGCTGCCAGCATGCGGCTGAGTGACGGCTGAGATCCTCAGTTATGTTCTGGAGCGCCTGGTAGCCACGCTGCTTCTAATATTAACTCCCCCCACTCTGAACCAAGGTCTCAGCTCTTTGACAAACCAGCAGATCGTGACTTGGTCGACAATGAGCGAGGAATTAATATAATGAATAATAATAATAATTAAAATCTAAAGTCGCTGACATCACCTCCTGGTAAATCCAGAGACCGGGATTCCACACAATCAGCAGAACTTCTCACATCATTTATTCATTTTAACTTGAAAAACCTTCTGCATGATCTCACAAAGTTCAATAACGACCAGCTGAAACCTCAAAACCAAGGAGCAATTTTTACAAAACAAAACCTCTACTTATGGTGGACAGCATAGCTTTTCAGATTTAAATTAGAACTGGATGATTTAATCAAGATGAAGCTTTAATCTGAACAGAAGGAAGGAAAGGGTGAACGGGCAAAGGAGAACGAGAAAAAAGAGTGGGACTGAAGGAAGGAAAGGAGAAAAGAAGGAAGATAGGAAGGAAAGAGGTAAGGAGAAGAATAAAAGGAGGCATTAGAGGATGAGTGACGGAAGGGACGAAGGAAGGAAAAAAGAAAGGAAGGACAAGAAAAGGAAAAAAGGTGAAGGAATGAAACAGAAAGGAAGAAATAAAGGAGGTAAGTAGGTAAGAAAAGATTAACGAACACAGGAGGAAAGTTAAAACTGAAGAAAAGAAAGAAGGAAACCAGGAAAGTTGTGGCAGAAATGACAGGATGAGTCCCAGTTGAACCAGTTGACCAAGCTGAGCCAGTAGACTGGTTCATCAGAATCCACCCAGAGCTGCCGCTCCTCTTCCTCCCTCCGTTCCTGTCTTTCCCTCTTCATCTCCATGTGCAAACATGTCACCTCTCCGCCCTGCAGCCAGCGGGCCTCTGGTCCCTCATCAGTAGTCCCTCCGTCCCTCCATCCCTCCGTCCTGACCTCCATCTGCACTCGTCCCTCTGTAACATTGTTCTGTCCTTCATCTGTCTTTCCGTCCCAGCTCACCGACATGTTTGTTTTGTTCTCTAATGTTCCTCCCTCTGCATCATATTTCCCCCCCTCTGATTCTCCTCAGAACTTCTGTCGTTTCTTCGCCTGTTTTCCGTCTCTTCTCGCCTGTTTCACCCTGCTGTGTTCGGTTTCCCCTCTGCATCTATTTTTGAACACCAGCCACATTCACCATGACTTCCTCCTCTTCTTTCAATCAAATCTGTCTCTTCCCTGCTCGTCCTTCCCATATCCCCTGTCAGTTCCTCTGCTCTACCCATCATGGCAGAGATGAACTCAGCTGTGTTCTGTTGTGTCAAGCCATTTTTCAAACCTGACACCAAACGCTGCATGTCAGTTGTTTTTGTTGGCATTTTAAACTGAATGTCTAAAAAGTTGCCATTTTAGACATTTAACATATTCACTGAAACTAGATTTAATAGCTTACAGAGTATCTGATCATGTTATGTATCATGTTTATCATATGAACAATAAGGTTCTGTATTTGCAGATTAACCTAAATGTGGATTTTTCAGGGGAATGTAACTCCAAAATCTGCTGACTCAAAATATTTCGTAAACCATTTGAGGGAAAAAGAAACTTATGAAACTTTGGTGCAAAGCAGCCAATCCAGAAGCACCTTTTCTGTTCCTTGGTGCTGATTGGCTGGACCCTTAAGAGCAGAAATAAGGAGGTCTGTAGATATTATCTTCTGGTGTAGTACAAAGATGGTGTCCACTGTGCAAATCAATGCGTTTAAGGTACATTTGGTGTTTATAACATTAAAATAAACATCTTCTGTGCCTCAAAGTAGTTTGTTTTGGTGTAGAGAAATTTATTTCCACCCTTTATAA